AATACAAAGGTTACAGAGCATCCTTATCAACCTTGATCAGGGGATCTGGCACCTGGCAGCTTCTGCTTCTTTGCCAAAGTCAAAATGACCATGAAAGGTGGAACTTGTAGATTGATTTAGATCATGAGGCAGCCACGACAGTGCAGCCAATGACTCTCATGAAAAAGGGACTTGCAAAATCGCTTCAGAAAGTGGCAAAAACGATGGAATAAGTGTGTTCCATGTGAGGGGAGTGTTTTGAGGGGAATTAATGACAATGTGTCTTTTACTGTAATAAGTTTTTAATTTAAATATTCACCATATGTTTCAAGCCACCGTATACATTCATGACACTGAAGGAGAAGAAAAGGCCAAGCAAAAATATTCAGTCAGCAAAATCGCTCTTTGAAAATTGAGAGAGGGCCAGGGATATAGCTCAGGGGCAAATGCAAGGTCCTGAGGTCAAGTCCCAGTGTAGACAGATAGACATAGACATAAATATAGACATAAATACAGATACAGATACAGATATAGATGAACTTCGGGCTTTTCCAGATAATACCTGAGGGACTTCATCATCACTGGGTTTGTATAGCTCACGGTTCAGGAGGTTGTGACATCCAAAAACACGGTGCTGGTATTTGCCCAGAGTCTGGTGGGGCCCGCATGCTGAGTCATGGTGTCACATGGTGAGAGAGGAAGTAGACCAAAGAAGTTCACTTTTATAAGAAAGTCACTTCTTCAGTCCCTTGCGAATCCATTCATGAGGGGAGCGTGCTGATGATGCAGTTACCTCCCAAAGGCCCCAGTTCTCAGCACTGCTGCCTGGAGACCAAGTTTCCAGCACATCAAATTGGTAGATACCACAGCGACTGCTATGAACAATTACATGTCAACAAATTGGATGAGCTAAAAAATAATAATAAATTCCTAGAAACAGATAGCCTAGCAAGATTGAAATATAAAGAAATGGAAAAATATGAACAAGGGCCAGCCAGATAGATCAGCAGAATAAGTGTCTGCTTAGGAAAGTGCAGGGACTGAGGTTCAGTCCCTAGCACCACATGCTGCACTGGACCCTCCCGGGATCCACTGAGCCAACCACTGAGACCAGGCATGGTGGCACATGCCTGTAATTCTAGTCCTGGAGAGACTGAAAGCAGGAGGATCTCTATAAGTCTGAGCTGCATAGTGAGACCCTGTACCAAATACCTAAAAAAAGAAAAATAATTTTTAAAAAAAGAAAAAGAAGAATGGATCAAAATATTCTATCAAAGAAGAACATTAGGCTAGATGGCTTCACTGGAGAAGTCTACCAAACATTTAAAGACTTAGTACCAATTATTTTCAAAGTCTCTAAAAAGATAAGAAAACAGTATGCTTCAAAGCTCACTTTATAAGGCCAACTGACATGCTATGTTTTGTTTTGTTTTTGTTTTTGTTTTGTCCTTTTGGAACAAGGTCTCACTATGCAGTTCAGGCTGGCCTTAGGCTCATTTTGTAGCCCAGGCTAGTCTCAAACTTGCAACAATCTGCTTGCCACTGCCTCCTGAGTGCTGGGATTATAAGCATGTGCTACCAGCCTGGCTAACATGTTAATATTATTACTTAATTATTACAGACTAATTAGGCCCACAATCTCCCAAACAAGTGTATAACAAAGGCTTAAATAAATAAGTCAAGTGGAATGATTTTAGGGCTCCAGAAGGTTCAAAACCCCCTAATAGAATTCAAGATTCTCTAGGGGCTAAGACAAAGAAATTCTCTGGGAAGCCCTATATTTATTTGGTTTTCAAAACAAAGGAGGGGTTTATTGAAGAAAATGCAGGACTCTGAGTGGATCTTGGGAGACAGTTCAAAGACCTGCCCAGCTAGTAAATATGCTAATTAGGAGGCTATCTTATCTCCAGGCTAACATGTATTGTAAGAGACTGCAGCTGCAGTCTCTTAGCTAATTGGGACTGGAGCCAAGCATCCTCAGCGATGGCCTTATCTTGTCCTGTGATGCGTCACAGCTTCACTACAGGCCTCAGCCAGGACCAGTGACTCACAGACATCCACTTACTCTCAGTCTGCTGCCCATCTCCAGAAAAGGGCCTAGGCCTTGGACAGGCTCACAAGTAAACTAGGAAAGCCAGTTGGTTAATTTTGAATCCTGCTCAGATTCACTTCATAGTTGTCTCCATCAGCCAGCATCATCGCTTTAATACAAAAAGCTGAAGACACAATAAAAGGAAAACTACAGGGCAATATTCCTAGTGAATACTGATGCAGAGATGCTCGATGAGATGCTAGCAAACTGAATTTGACAGCATATTATGTACACTGGGACCAAGTGGAATTTATCCTGGGATGCAAGGATGGTTTAATACATGAAAACCTATAAATATAATACAACACAGAAAAAAGGTTGGTGGCACATACCTGTAACTCCAGCTCTTGGGAGGCTCAGAGAGTGGCTAACCAGTAGCCTCGCCTATGTAGTAAGTTTAAGATCAGCCTGAACTACATAGCAAGACCCTGTCTCAAAGGGGGAGAAAAACTGATGGAAGGACAAAAATTATATTATTATCTCAGTTCATGTAGAAGATTGTTCACTAAAATTCAACCTCTCATGATAAAAATAACAAAATGACTAGGACACTCCCCCAGCATAGATGAAAAGCCTATAACTAATATCATTCCTAACAGTAAAAAATGAAAGCTTTCCTTTAAGACCCTGAAGAAGGTAAGGGTGGCCATGCTTGTCACTTCTGTTAAACATAATTAGAAATCCTATCCAGAGCAAAAGATAAGAAAAAGGTTCATCTAAATTAGAAACAAAGAAGCAAAATGCTGTCTGTACAAAATCATAAAGATTATGCAAAAAAAAAAACTGTTAGAAGTTGGGTGTAATAGTACATTACTACAATCCTAGCACTGGGGGGAGGGCGGCCAAGGTAAGAGAATGACAATCTCAACCCCAGCCTGGACAATGTAGCAAGACCTTGCCTCATTTTGTTTTTAAATTAGAAAGAGCTGAGTATATTGCTTATTGCCGAGGTCCTGGGTTCAATCTCCAGTACTGGGAGTGGGGCTGGATTCTATATACTAGCAATGAAGAATCCAAAGAGGGAATTAAGAGAGTAATTCCATTTATAATAACATCAATAAGAAAAAAATACTTAAGAATAAACTTAACCAAGGATTCAAGACTTATACACCAAAGACTGCAAACAGTGCTAAAAGAAATTAAACAAGAAAGGCTGGCAGTGCAGATCAAAGGGAGGGCTTGCCTCGCATGTGTGAGGCACTAGGTTTGATCCCCAGCACTACAAAAACAAAACAATGAAACAAAAAACCCACCAACTTATGAAACAAAACAGGCAAAAACTCCATAGCATTGGATCAGACATTGGTTTAGATATGACACCAAAGGCACGAATAAAAAATTCAAAATAGAAAATGGGACTACCCTAAACCTTAAAGCTTCTGTGAAGCAAGGGATACAATCAACAGGATGAAGAGGCCAAGGAAATGGGAGAAAAGATTTGCAAGCTATATATAAAATAAGGGGTTAGGATTCAGAATAAAGAACTCAATACCAAAAAACAAAAACCCTGACCTAACCTTACTTTAAAAGTAGGCAAAGGAATTGAGTACACATTTCGCCTAAGATAGATGAATGGCCAACAGGTACATGAGAAGATGTTCAACATCACTGATCCTTTGGTAGGAATGAGAAGCAGGAGGCAGGTATAGAAATCCTTTCTTGCTAGGTGCAGGAGGGCTGTGGGAAAGAAGCAAGGATCCTCGGGGAGGAGGGAGGGAGAAGAATTCATCCAGCTGGGTTGGAGGTGGAGTTCACAGGAGCAGTAAGGTGTAATAGGCAATGACTGGGGAAGGCTCAGAGCTCAGGTGGAAAACAAAAGAGGAAGTGGAGGTTAACCAGGAGGAGGAAGAGAGAGGTCAGTCTAGGAGCAGCACGTGGTTGGCTTGGGCTCCCTGAGCCACACCAGCTTGCCACCAAGATGACCTGGAGGACTGTTGTGTGGGCGCAGACCCGTAACTAGGGAAATGCAAAACAAAACCACAATTAGAAAGCATATTACACCAGCTAAAATGGCCACTTTTTACAAAAATGCCAGAAAATAAAGAATGTTGGTATGGACATGGCAAACATGGCAGGAGCCCCTCTGGACCATCGGCAGGAATGTAAAGTGGTTCTCCCACTATGGAAAATAGTGTGCAGGCACCTCACAAGCTTATAAACACAATTACCACATGATCCATAATCCCACTTCCAGGTATTTATAGAAAAGAATTGAACTTAACAAAAAAAGGGGATACAGATGAATGTCCATTTTGTAGCTGTGTATTCAAAGTGGTTAGGATAGATATATAGTTACATTCTCTTAGTGAATAGAGGGATTTGTTCTAATGGTGTTTGTAAATAGGATATCATGTCCGCATCTTGTACAGCAATTAACCACTAGGAAGAATGTATGCAATGTGTTAATTATTGAAACTCTCCTACCAATTTGATTTGAAACTGTCTCATTGCTATTTGTTTCTCAGTAAAATTATGGAAAAGAAAAAGAAAAAGAATTGAGATCAGTGTCTTAAAGACATGGTACCAGGTGGCAAGATGTCTAGAGGGCACTTGACCTCTGTTACTCAGTGATGAGTAAAAGAGTGAGGCAGACCAGACAGAGGTTACATCTACTGGTGAACAAACTGAGGTCACAGGGTGTGAAATCAATGGGGGGGAGTTGGGGGACAGCAGCTAGAGACCAGGAAGATCTGAGCACTACCACGTCCACTGTCAGGCCCCCGGGGGCCCCTGGCTATGCTCTAAGCACTGTGGAGCCCTGACAAAGCCAGGGCCCCAGGCACAGCACACCCAAGGGCATCATGGCCAATAACTGGCAAATTCTTTTTCTGCAGGGCTATGTGGTTGTATTCATCAAATGTAAAACTCTTATGTTATTGGAATCACTAGTTGTTCATTTAGGTATTTCTTTTATTTATTTATTTTTTGATATAACAACATTTAATTCTATCACATTCCCATCAACCATCAAAGGCAGTAAATGACAATTATATTGGCCGCTTCCACTGGTTGGCGGGAGGCTCCTCCACCACTAGCGGCTCCCATGGTTTCCACTGCATCATTTTCCTTGCCAGATTTGGTTCACTTTCAGCCTGAAGAATCACCTCTTCTACTTGGCCAAGCTGAAGTCGGCCTTCTAATTTTTTAACATCTGGTTCCGCTGTCACTATAGCCAGCCTCTCATTTGTAATTTGTTCTGTGTATTTTCTATATGCAGCACTTTTAGGAATTTGATCAAGAACATCAAGAATCTTTGTGTACAATATTCTTAGCCTCTCGTGCGGCGTCTCGCACACGGCCAACCCCATAAGGCCAGTGGTGTTCTTCAGCGCGCCCACCATGACAGCGTCCACCAGCCGCCCGAGCTCTGCCAGGTATTTCTTTTAAAGGGCAAGTAAAAGTTAACACGCACCCAAGAAAAACATGTTATTCAATGATCTTTTTAATAATCTATTGTTTCTAAAGAAAAAATTTGGAGAATAGTCTCAGGAAATATTAATATTAATCACAACTAAATAAGTGAAAATATAGTCAAATGTATATATAATTGAGTACATTTAATTAATGTAATTAAACTAATATATATTTGATCAATATATTTTAATATTATATATTAATATTAACTTATTCCTTTTGTGACAAATATGATAAATACTGACTTGAAAATATCTTCAAACTAGTGTTTAAATAAATAACCGAATTGTCAGTATTTTTCAACTCTTCCTAGAGTTTTCAGTGAGACTGTACTGAATCAGTAGATTTACTGTGAGGAAATCAACACCTTAACAATATTAAATATTAGCTGGGCGTGGTGGCGCACACCTATAATCCCAGCACTCAGGAGGCTGAGGCAGGAGGATCACTGCAAGCTGAAGGCCAGCTTGGGCTACACAGTGAGCTCAAGGCGAGTGTGAACTATGTAGTGAGACTCTATCTCAAAAAAACCCACAAAAGCAAAACAAAACAACTAAAATAAAACAACACTGAATATTTCAATTCATGAGCATAATGTCTCTCTTCATTTGTTTAGATACTCTTTAATTTTGCTCAGTATTTTGGAATTTTTTATTTACAGATTTTATACTTCTTCATTAAAATGAGAGCTATGTTGGGCATGATGGCACAAACCTCTAATCCCAGCACTCTAGAAGGCTGAGACAGGAGAACTGCAAGGTCAAGCCCTGCCTGGGTTAGATTGAGCTTACCCTGGAACACAGTGGGACCCTGTCTCAAAAAACTCAAAATAAAATGGAAAGACCTAACATTTTATTTAATTTGAGTCTAAATGGTCGTAGGTTTTATACTGAAATTTTACCCTGTGCTGTTAGTGATAAGTTCTAAAAGTTTTTGTTAATTTCTTTTTTTTGGTGGGGAGGGGGCAGCCTGAAGACGCCTTGAGGGCATTTCTGGTTTCCTGTGAGAAACTGGGTTCGAACCAGAGCGTCTTGAGCCGGACTGCTTTGTTTAAGCAGGCACTTAAACAACTTGAGCTAATGGGCAGGCCCCCTGTTAATTTCATAAGGGTTTATACACACATCCATGTTTTGGACAAATACTATTTTTTTTCCGTTTCCTTTCTTATTGCACTAATCATGTCCCTAACTATAATGTGCTGGGGGAGGGGTGGCAGGGATCAAACTTTGAACCTTGCGCATGCCAGGCAGGCAAGCCACTGAGCTATCTCCCCAGCTCACTGTAATACTACATAGAAGAGGCAAGTATGTATTACAGTGTGCAACCATGGTGGATTAGAGGATGAAAAATTACTGGAATGGAAGTTTAAACTCCAAAAAGCGCAGACTGACTGCTCCACCGAGACTCCTCAGCAGGAGAATGTCTTAGGAAAACAGCAGCAATCTGGGAAACTCCTGCCCTTTTGGTACCCAAGGGTGTGAGAATGAAGGAGAAATACATTTGTGTAGGAGTTTTGTGTTCAGGAAAGGAAAGGAACAGGATGATCAGCGAAGCAAGTTTATTGGGGCCCGAATAGCGCAGTGGCTGGAGCCAACTCCCCAAGAGTGGCTTTGCTTCTAATTCTGCTCAGCTTGCCTGCAGAGCTGCTCTGATCTGTAACCAGGCATTCGGGGAGGCCTGGGCTGCTGCTTGGGGGTCCCTTGCTCTTCAGTCACTCCTGCAGCCAGTCTCTCCACAAGTACAGATACTGATTTTAGGGAGAAAGAATTTACTTTTTCAGCATAATGTATGATGTGAGCTATGTTTTTCTTAGGTCACCTATTTTCCATACCTTTCTCTTTAAATTGCCTATTGATCTTGTTGAATTTAGGATCAGTCCTCAGGAGTTCCTGACATCTGTGATTTGTTTTTTAAAATATTATTTTTACAGGAGCTTTTTCCTGCTGTCCCCTGTTGCCCATCAGGGAGGAAACAACAAGCAGGAACATCTGGGGCCCAGTGACGCAGCCGAGCTCTGACCCACCTGGTGTAGCACTCTCTCCCTGGTAAAGAAGGTTCTCAGGAAACATGTTAAAATTTGTCATCCATAAGACTGAAAAAACAAACAAAAAGATCAAAAACAAGGCCAGAATGTCTGCTCACACCTCAGATGTCCTATCGCTGGCACTGCAGGGCACTCCAAACTGCTGCTCCAACTCCACAGGCATGGAGAGCAGAGTCCAGGCCACTGCCAGCTCCTCCTTCCCTCGAGATGTTGCATTCTGTGGTTATTCTTGAGAATTTGAAGCAAAAAAAGAGGATAACAGGACTGGTCCCAGGCCACCTGGAGAAATGTCTCACACACAGGTCTCTCCGACCTTCCCATCTCTGGCAGATCTGCACATCTAACTCCGCTGGTTCTTCCTCCCTTCTTTGGGGCCTGTAGGGTCATTGCTGAGTCTTCACTGGATTCACTGGTGCCTGAAGGGATGAGTGTTAAACAGGTAGCTCAGAACAGCTCTGCTACCCAGGGGCACTTTTATACACACACCACACGCACACACAACCCCCCACCAACCATACACACTTTGAACACATACAAGTGCTGACAACACCTACTCTTGGATTCCAAGACCACATCATGGTACCTCAGTTCACAAACTTAGTTCTTTTCCACAGTTCTGTTTATAGAATCATGGGAAAGAAATAAATCCATAATGGCCGACCAAATAGCTCAGCGGATTAAAGTGCCTACCAGCAGGCACAGGGGCCAGGGGATCAATCCCCGGGCTTGCCATGTTGGTCCCGCCCCGGGGCACACTGAGATGTCAATTGAGACTGGGCATGGTGCTGTGTGCCTGTAATCCCGCTCTTGGGAGGCTATAAACAGGATCACTAGGAGTCCGATCTAGTAATGAGACCCTGAACACCCTGTAGACCCCTCCCTAAAATACAGAAAATAAATTAATCAAATAAACCCATGAACTGCGATATAACTCTACTCTGAACACACGATCTGAAATATACCCTGACTGGGCTGTACACACACATTCTGATTTGCTGTGCTCAACAGATTTTCATACATCCCACAATGGCCACATCCTTTGGGCCCCCACATAGGTTCCTGTCACACTCAGTCACACCATGAAGAGTATGGCTGTAGGGCTGGAGAGATAGCTCAGAGGTCTAAATACCTACCTGGCAAGCTCAAGGACCCAGGTTTGATCCCTGGTATTGCATGCCACACTGACCTTGGAACCCTAGGTGCGCCCTGTGGGCCACCAAAACTGGGCAAGGTAGAATGTGCCTACAATCCCAGCACTGGGGAGGCCGAGACAGGAGGATCACTATGAGTCTAAGCTGCATAGTGAGATCCTGTATTAAATAAATAAAACATGTTAAAATTAAAAATAAAAAGAACATGGCTGTAGCTGGGTGGGCTTTGATCGGGGGCATCAACATGGTAGCTCAGGCATGGGACGAAAGAGGCATGAAGCACGCAAACAGAGTGGGAGATGATCTTGATTCCAGCTTCACGAAGGGCATCTGAACTCTGCAGAGCTGCCTACTACAGTGGTTTATGAGTCAAGATAATCTGAAATGACACATGGGAAGTATCTGGTATACACTCACCAGCAAAAACTTAAAATCAAAAAATGTAAATTCTCCTACCTGCTTCTACTGAGAATGCATTAAGAATTTTAAAGTGATTACTAACAGCAAACTGTGGAGAATTCTTGCTGGGAAAAAAAATAGTTGTTGCTATTGAAATTCACATCTTTCTCTACATAAAAACTGAGTCAAGAGCTCAGGGTGCACCTCACTGCCAGGGGTCCAGCGCTTGCTTGGTAGGAGCAAAGCCATGGGCTCAATCCCCAGCACTATAAAAACAGGAAGAAATTGATTCAAAACCTTCTCTTGCTGAAAACATTTCATGAGAAAATAATTTCAGGTTCTATTTGTACTGAAAGGTCCTACTGAAATGACCCAGGAATGCACATAAATGGCCACAAAGCCCTGCTTGCAGACACTCAATAACAGCTGAGGAGACACAGCCTGTGAGAAAAGGGAGTCGAACAGATGTCACCTTCACAGAGGCTTTTTTTTTCCAAACCCAAGGTCATGAAAATTTCCTTCATTTTCCTCCAAGAGTTGGCTTTCACTCGTATGCTTTATTTTGCCTATGAATATGTAGTTGTTCTAGTAAAGTTTGTTGAAGAGATTATTCTTGCCCAAAAGTTTAAAAGAGATTTAGCAAAGAAAGAAGCAGCCTTTCTGAGCTAAGGAGAAGAAGCTGGCATTTGGTACCAGTAATTTGCTCAAATTTCTGCTTCCAAAGAGAAAGCATTAAGTGGATATATTAACTAAAGAGAAATGATACATTAAAAGGTATACAGTTTTGTTTTTGTTTTTGTTTTTGTTTTTGTTTTTGCTTGTTTGTTTGTTTGTTTTGTGGCTGGCTCAGCCCACCCTGCAGTCCCCGCGCACTTGCCTAAGCTTGCCTGAGCAGGCACTTTAGACCGCTAAGCTATCTCACTGGCCCAAAAGGTATATGTTTTTAAACAACTACGAATTGCAAATGCAAACACAACTAGATGGATTCCAGAAAAAGAAGAGACCTTGTTGAGTGAAGTGAGATCATCAGGAATTTCTACACCCGGGTAATTTGCTTTGCCTGGAAACTGATCGTTAGACTTGACACAGAAGGGCCGAGTAGGAACAAAGAAGCAAGGATATGGAGGATGTTACACCAAATTTTAAGAAATCAATTAAGAACTGGAAATTATTTTGTAAAGAAAGAATTCAGTGGAAATCCTGAACTTAAAAAGAATAATAAATGAGATGTAAAATTCACGGAAGCAGGCTGAGGCAGGAGGATCATTGAAAGTGTGAGACCAGCCTGGGCTACAAAATAAGCTCAAGGCCAGCCTGAACTGCATAGCCAGAC